TTTTTTTTTTTTTTTGGTAGAGATGGGGTTTTGCCATGTTGTCCAGGCTGGTCTCAAACTCCTGGACTCAAACAATCTACCTGCCTTGGCCTCCCACAGTACTAGGATTACAGGCATGAGCCACCATGCCCGGCTACACAGTGGTTATTTTGACTAGATCCACATTATATTCACAGTTTAGTTTAAGGAACAGGACATTCTTACATTCTGTCTTCCTGTTGAAAAACAGCTTCTATCTGAAGTTATTTGAGTTATCTTTTATGCACCTTTGAGAATTTTAAAGTTTTTTTTTCATGTTGGTATGAACATTTCTTGTAAAATTTATCTTTTTTGTTGCTACTGTAAAGATAATATTTTCCATTATATTAAACCGGTTATTATTTGTATATAGGAAGACTACTGATTTTTGTATATTGGTTTTATAAATATGACATTTTTAGTTTTGAAAATATTTGCAGCAATAAAACATTACCTCTGTAAATCCAGAATTTCATTTGCAATATCTGTTCCAATACTACCAGCACCAAGTACTGTTCCAGCAGACATTCCAGGTACACTCATACAAGACTGTCGAGAGGATTCTAAGTAACAGCAAAAGGGGACATTCAATTAAGGACTTTATCTTTCTTTCAATTCAAATAATTTCACAGTTCTCTCCTTAAAAGAAACAGACTAGCTGTATCCAAAAATGCTAGAAAACACTCATCATTGCATTACAAATGTAATTCATGATGCTCTTTGAATCAAATGTGTAGAAAGTCACTGAGGGCACAATCGTGACTTGTAACCCTTGGGTCCAGTCTCTTCCCACTTTAACTTCCACAGCAATACTACTTCAACGTTACCTAAGATTTTTATTTTTACAAATAATACATTAATATATTCCTGTGGTGAAAAACTAACACAGACAAGCAAAAACTCCCCCTAATACTTTTCATTAATTTGTCCAATTGACAAGGAACGACGTTAGCTGTTAGGGCTGAATAATGGATAAAACATCATTCCTGCTCTTAAAGAACTCAGTCTACTGGAAAGCAAGTAGAATGAACAGCTAACTGCAGTACAATGCAAGATTATAACAGAAATGTGAGCAAAGCACTGTGGAAATTTTGAGGGGGATATGGTGATACCTTTGGGGCTTTAAATGGGATATCTGTTTCTCATTGAACTTAGTCTCTTCTAAACCAAAGTTGGGATTCCTATAACCCAACCTGTAGAACTCCTTTTAATTTCACCTTCAAATTTTCCCCTCTCCAGGCCAGAAAAAGACAATAACAGTCTTAATAATATGTCTTAGTAATAAGTCTTCCATCATCTGAAACTAAGCTTACCTTCTGATGATTGAGAGCTACAAGGAAAAAATGATGCTTCTCCAGGCTCACTATGTCCCCTAGAATTAAAAACACCATAGATGATTTGTTTTCTAAGGTGAAGGAAACTGTTATAGCAACTACACCAAGCTCTATATATTTAATTTGTCAATTTGTGGCCCATTTATGTTTTATATACACATATTGTTAGTATCACCACCAGAAATCAAGGTCTATTAAGACATTAGTGCTAAGTATCATGGCATTTGCCAAATGCCCCATTCCCCTATAAAGTATGTGTTCTCGCAATAACAAACTCTTAGTTCATGTACTAATAATAAGTAGGCAAAGATTACTGGGATGGGTGACAGGAAAATACTGGAGGTATTAAACTTTTTTAAAAATTATTTTTCACTCAGTATTGTAGATAAGGAAACAACTGGTTCAAGGAAACCTTACAGCAATTTCAAAGAGAAACTTACAGAAATAAAGCAAGACTTAGAATGGGGCCATCCTAGTCTACTATAAAATCGGGAGAACTTGGCTCTTCCTTCAGGCTGACACAGCGACAGACCAGGGCCTGGGCTGGATTTCTGTTCTCCCCCATGCTGGGCATGCCTACACAGACATGGTGGCACCCCAGGCTTACAAGATGTGCACGTAAAAATGACAGGGAGGACAAAACCATTTCTTACAATAATGCACAGTTGAAATCCATGTCTGCATTGTTTACTGAATGGCCATGGAAGGTAGGAAGAAAATGGTTGAATAAATGCCTTTACCCTCACTTATTATATCAAGTAAGAAGGAATATATTACAAAAATGAAAACTTTTAGCTTAATTCTGAGAACTAATGTCACTGAACAGTAAATGACTTACTCAAAAGATAAATCTCAAGTTATAATAAAAGGCCAGAGGATCATATGGTTTTAATGGTTTAGCAAGATGAGAGGAAAAAAGCAAAGAGACTCATTTGAAATCAATATAAAGGTCTTAACATAAAAATTTACTTACAAAACTAAAGTGTTGACAGATACAATATATTCCAGTTCTTTCGTCCAAGGATTTGTGAAACTAAACCATTGGCTTTTTAAAGTTACGAAAGAGCCATCTTTTGCTCTGAATTTGTAGGAATCTGTAAGTATTTTCTCCTTACTCTGTAGAACTTAATGAGAAAAGATAATTATCAGCATAACAGTCTACCACTATAAAAATCAACATTGTGAGGAATAATTCAAATTTCAAATTTCACAGGAATGGGAAGTTGAGTTAAAGCTGTCATTTTGAATTCCCCAAAATGTCTTCTGCTCAATGCATACCTACCTGCTTTGTGCTTGTCAGTCAAATTACTATGGTCATCTTGATGAAAATATTCATAACAAGAAGTTCCCAAAAGTTCCTGAGGCAGATATCCTAAAATTGCTGTTGCCCTGGTTTTAAAATTGAAAATAAACTTCAGAAGTGGTGAGTGTACTCCCTCCCAGAAGACTGTAGGCCCACATATGGTCAGGATAGTAAAGAAGTGCACAGGGTAGGGGATGAGTGACCATGCACATCACTGGGCTCCTGTTGGCTGCCCTAGAGCCAGACTAGAGCCGCAACACAGAACAGACACCCAGGCATGAGGCCTCCACCCAATCCAGGCTGTGCTCTTACTAGCTTTTGCCAGTAAAATCGTGGGCATAGACCATGCCCAGTTTCTGCACCACTGGCTAAGAGACATTCTTTCGAGTTTACATGTTGGCTTAAACAAATTTACTGACATGTCCATATCCTTATTTCATTTAAACTTTCTGTTCTGAAACAGCAAAAAAAAAAAAAAAAAAAAAAATCTAGCAGTGCTACTAAGACACGTCTTTAATAGCTTCAAATATCCTATTGAATTCTAATCATTATAACATGTAAATGTTTACCTTTGATCTACATAGACAAATTTTCCATTCATTGCAAACCGGGTTACAAATTCAGTCGGTTTCACATGAATCTCTCCACTGTTCTGTGGAATAATATATGGCTGTAATCTTCCAATGGCCACAAGGCAGGTAAAATTACTGTTGTCTTTCTTACTGTTCCTTTCTTCTTCCATTCCAACAATATTTGGAGGCCAGCTTCTCAAGTAACCAGTGCAGTGGATAGTATAGAATTTTCTATGCTCTAATTCAAAGATTTTTCAAAAGGACATTTAGATCATTATAAATAAATCATTAAATTTCTTATATTGACATCTACAATAGTGATAATTGTGCTATAAAATGCTCTTTAAATATGCTAAAATATGAAAGGGGAATGGTATTCCATTGAAAAGATATCATCAATTTTGATTATTTCATGACTTTATTATTAATAGGTTATTTTCCTCAGGAACTAAATTGTATGTACTACATGAAAAAGCAAACAGGTTGCTTTATTTTAGTATTAACTAGGTCTATGACTTAATATATTTCCAAGTCAATTTTTTAAATTACAGTAATTTACATCTGTTGGAAAAATTAATCCTCATGCCCCCTTGCAATACTGTTTTCAGCTTATTAAGTTTTTTGGTATATTGTAACTTATATTTGAAAGTTTAAAAAGACATTTAAGTCATTATGTATGCATTCTTAAATTTCTTATGTTAGTGCTTATAATGGTTAATAGATATATAAGGTTATAATAGATTATAGAAACATTTTAAAGAACACTTGGAGAAATTTATAATGAAAAGTATAAAAATAAAATAAATTTCACTTTTTAGGAAAATCCCAAGCAATTAACTCATAGGAAGAAGCATGTCAAGCATGTCCACCAAAATAATAAAAAATTGGAAATAATCTATATGCTCAAATATCATGTTTAAGCAAACAATAAATCCAATACTGGCATAAACGATGAGTAGGATACAGATTACGGCATGCCACAAAAGTGATTTAAAGGTTAAAAAGTAGGGGAAAAGCCTGATAAAAAATTATTTGAAACAGCTGTTTTTATGGTAAGCTTTAGAAAAGATTAGAACAATCAACGTTTTAAATTGGCACTATTTGGTAAAACTTCCACTACAATAAATCCTTTAAATTTGTGTTTAAATAGAAGGTGATATGAACTGTCATATAAAATAGTAGTTAACAATAATAGCAAAGATTTAGAGACCACTTTATGTGTCACAGTCTAAATGCGTTAAACGTATAAGTCATTTAATCTTCATAGTTCTGTGGGATGTTCTAGCATCTCCATTGTCTTTGGAAACTGAGTTAATGGCAAGGTCACAGCAGGTATAGGATGGAGCTGGGGTTAAAACTCAGGCTGGTTCCAGAGCCCACTTTCTAAACCACTAACGCCACACCATTTGCTGATAGTGAGTGCTCTGTCACCAAAGATGTTCAAATAGGAGTTGCCTGGGTGACAGAAGGGGAGGGGTACAAAGGTGTTCCAGTGAGAGGGAATGACCAGTGAGAACTGAGAGCGAGCGGTCAGATGCGGCTGAAGCATATGCTGCAGTGGGAAAGACTGGAAAATAAAGCAGGGAACAGAGGGCAGGCTGTAAGCCACGCATAAAACCTTGTATCCAACATCTAACAAACAGCACTCCCTTCCCAGGCCACAGATGCCCTAAATTACAAAACTCCTTATCTCTTCCAACCCAAACCCAGTCTTTATCACCTATTCCCTACCCTGTTTACTGGTGCCACGATCAACCTAGGCAGTTCAAAGAGAAATCTGGGGGTCATCTTAGGCTCTACCTCCTCCTAACAACCCAGATACCTCAAAGGAATTAAAATTGAGTAAGTATGAATAAAGGTTTTCATTCATATTAACAAAACCAGATGGTAGTTAAAAATAAAAGGGCTTATACATCAGGTTTGGCATTCCTGCAAACTTATAAATGATACTGACTAAAAATATTCCACTCTACTGAAAATAGAGACTTCAGAAAGTATATTTTTTATTTATATATGTAATCTCATCACACAGAACCTAGCTTGTTGCATTTATTTCTCTCTTACAACAGGTTACTATCTATATTTCCAAATCTAACTGTCCCTCAATTCTCACTGTGAACATTTATTCAGTTGGCAATTTTCTAGTTGGGATTGTGTAATTCTATCAACTGCAATTCATTTGATCAGCTATCTAAGTTTTTTTTTTTTAAATCCCATTTAATCCATTTCCTGTTTAGAAAAGAAAAAACACAGCTCGCTACCAGTGCAGTATTCTCAGGACAAATGGGAAATGGGTTAAAAATTCTTATCCCAATAATTCTTTAGCTCTTTATCTAAACATTAGAGTCATGAGGCCCGATCCTTGCCAAACTATTTACTTACATCAGCTCCACAGGCTAGATTCAAGTGTCATCTACTCCATGATTTCCCAAAAGTGTGTAGGGGTGAGGGGAGGGAGAAAAAGCCTGTATTACCCTAAACACTGCCTTAATTTACAGGACATCCTTTCAAAATCCTTTATGAAATATTTCCTCAACACGTTGCAGGCTAGGTCTCTCAACTTGGTGTCTTGCTGTCTTCACTTAAACTCTTGAGGAAGCAGATCCAAAATAAGGATTCAAATACAAGAAGTTAATTTGAGGGGTGGTCCCAGGAAACACTGGCAGGGAACTGGGAAGTGAGACAGGGAAGAGAAGGAAGCTAAAACAAAGTACCTGAAACGTGCAAGTTCCTGGAGCCACAGGCAGAACTGGCTCCAAAGACCAGAGGAAGAGGTCAGGCAGAGTCCTGGCGTTGGACACTGGAGGCCAGTGGCACACCCTGTCTGCAGTGGTGGGTGCTGGGGGGATACACCATGGGGCACTGACAGATAGCATCTGCCATATGTGCACAAGAAACAAGCGGATTCTGGGTGTACTGTTGTACTTCTTCCTCATGCACAATTATCTCACGAAGATAAATTTAAGAAACACTTAAGACGCTTGGTGGCAGTCATCCGTCCTTCATCAGCCTGCAATTTCACAAGTTCAGATACCCAAGTAATTGTCTCTTTACCTTAGAAGCTTTTTCAAAGTTTGAATCCATGACATGAAGGCTTGATTCAGGATATAAATAATTTTTTAAAACGTCGTTATTTTAAAAAAATCTTTTATTATGTAAAATCTCAAACATAATGCAAAATCAGAAATAAACTTGGGTAACTCATCTTGAGAAATCCTGAGAAATGACCTTTCCATAAATCTTAAATTCAACTTTCAATTAAAATAAAAAGGGCTGCTCTCTAGTCTTCCTCTAAGTTTAAATGTCTTAGTCTTCTCTAAGTTTTAAGGAACTTCCTCTAAGTTCCTTAAAACTTAGTCTTCCTCTAAGTTTTACCATGACATGTCATGGTAAAAGGGAAGAAAAACACGTTTACTAACCACAGGCTTTCATCATTAATAATGAGGGGTCTTAAAACACAGTGAATTGGCCGGGCACGGTGGCTCATGCCTATAATCCCAGCATTTTGGGAGGCCGAGGCGGGCGGATCACAAGGTCAGGAGATCAAGACTATCCTGGCTAAAATGGTGAAATCCCATCTCTACCAAAAATACAAAAAATTAGACAGGTGTGGTGGCACGTGCCTGTAATCCCAGCCACTTGGGAGGCTGAGGCACGAGAATCACTTGAACCCATGAGGCGGAGGTTGCACTGAGCTGAGATCAAGCCACTGCATTCTAGCCTGGGTGACAGAGCAAGACTCCATCTCAATAAATAAATAAATAAATACATACATACATACATACATCAATACATACATACATAAAACCACAGTGAATTCCACTGGTTAATTACTATTCGAAAGAGTAATTTCAAAGCGATCATATGCAACATGTAATTTCACTTGACAGACACTCTCCTTGGTTAAAGCAGAAGACAAAATGACCCTCACCAAGGTCATCCAGGTGGCAATCAGGGTTTACATTCTGCAGTTACGTTATCCTGGACCAGCTGTCTATAGGCAGTTCTCAAACCAGGTCCTGCAAGGACTGATTTCTGACACATTCCCTTACCACTGCTTAGGCCTGTGCCTTTGGTACAGAACTCTGTTGTGTTAAGTGAATACTTGGTTCCAGGGCTTGAGCAGATTCAAAACTCAAAACTCCTTTTTGAAAAGATATTTGCCTCTGTGTGCAGGCATCTGTGTGGCCCAGCCTGGCATGGGAGTGAACACCCTTGTGTGGGCAGGAACACATTCCTATAGCAGGCGCCCACTCCCTCACTGTGTGTCTGCTGCGAAAATCATCCAGAATCTCTTTCACTAAAACCTTTTGGCATCTAGGAAGCTAATGTAGTAGGTGGCATGGCATAGTGGAAAGAATACAGATTTTAAAGCCAGATTGCTGACTCTGTCACTCTCTATGTGACTTTAGAAAAATTACACAACCTTCTAAAAGTGCAGTTTCCTCGTCTGCAAGACAAGGATGCTCTGCACAGAACTGTTAGGGAGATTAAACTGGGTAATTATGCAATGTGCTTGGCATATAGTAGAATCTTAATAATTATTCACTCACTCCTTTCTCTCTTTCATTTTCTCTTCTCTTCTTTCTGAGCTGCAAATAGCTACTATTTATTGAGTGCTTCCTAGGAGCCGAGCACTGCATGAGCCACAGGTGATCCCAACCACACTCTCAGGAGATGCTGTTATTACCCACTGTATTAGTCTGTTCAGGCTGTCATAACAAAATTCCAGACTGGGTGGCTTAAATAACAGAAATATTGTATAGGGGTCTACCCTTATAACCTTATTTACCCTTAATTACATCTTTAAAGGCTCTAACTATGGATACAGTCACACTGAGGCCTAGAGCTTCAACATACAAACTTTGGGGGAAAACAATTCACCCAGTCCCATCCATTTTCCATATATTAGGAGAAACTTGCCTAAGGTCACACAATTGTTAAGTAGCAGACCTGACACTAAAAAACCCTACTGAATTCAGAGCCCAGGCCCTTTCTACTCTGTCCCACAGCATGGCTGTTGGGAGGCAGAGTCTAGTGGGAGAACCCAGAACATCAGAGCGACTCAAAAATTTATTTGTTCCTTTAGTTCCTCACAGAATTCAACTACTAATTGAATTAACTCTAATTGACCATTTGCCAGATATTCTTGAAATATCTATATTTTCCCAGTAAGATTATCACGTATTTCAAAGGAAAGAAATCATTCCTACTTCTTCTATAAATCTGTAAAACTTGCAATAAAAAAATCCTTTTAGGAACCCATGGAAGGACTAAAATTTGATTAGCACATTTTCAAGAATGCTGCTTGGTTGTTTTTTTTCTTAAATGTAAAAAAATACACACGCATTTTTGTTTGAAAATTGAATATTTAAAAGACCCGCTTCAAAATACTATAGCAGGGCTATAGAGTTCTACAGAGGACATCCCACTTTCCTTCTTGTATCTTTGCAAAGGGTTAAAAGACTGCAGATTATTAGACGTCCAAGATTACCATCAGTGACTGACTTGAGCTCCCATATCTAGGAAAATCCTCCAAGAATGTATATATTTGGTCATGTGTTGTCTAGAATTTCACAAAACAATGAGAGGAAGAATTGAAGGCGACAGAAAGGAGGAGAAGCCCAGACAAGGTGGAGTCCTGCTATTGCTTTGTGACTTCTAGTTCCATATCTGAAGCCAAATTTTAAGATGCCAATTTAATTAACAGACATTTATTTTCAGAAAGGCCCAGATGCCTTTAGTTCTCAGGGCAGAGCCTTTTCAGATTTCTTTCTCATGAGAACTATGGTATAGAAAATGATCCAAGCTGGTTGCAGTCTGAGGTTGGGCTGCCATAGCAAAATAGCAGATGTGGTAGCTTCAACACCAGGAACTTATTTTCTCTCAGTTCTGGAGGCTGGAAGTCTGAGATGGAGGTGTCAGCAGGGCTGCGTTCTGGTGAGGGCTGTCTTTCTGGCTTGCAGATACCCAACAACTTGCTGTGTGCTCACATGGCCTTCCCTTGCTCACTGCATTCATGCAGAGACAAAGAGCTCTCTGATGCCTCTCCTTACAAGAACACTAATCCCATGATGAGGGCCCCATCCTCATGACCTCATCCAAACCTAATGATCTCCCAAAGGCCCAATCTCCAAATACCCTCATGTCAGGAATTAAGGCTTCAACATAGGAATTCTGGGGACACAATTCAGTCCATAGCATTTGCTAAAAACTTCTTGAGACAAAATCTAAAAAATATGTTGAAATTGCTTCCTTAGGTAAAAGAGAAAGATTTTAATGTATATTCATTCATTTAATTTATAATTGTTCCTGTGGATTTGAGAGTGGTTATGCGGTCAGTCAGGTAGGAACAAAGGACAAGAGGATCGTCACTTATGCCTTCAGGAAATGTTTATTGAATGTCTATCATGGGCCAGAAACAACAGATGGAAATGCAGCTCTCATTCCAGTGAGGGAGGAAAGTATCAAAAAGTTAAGTAATTTCAATACAGTGTAGAAGAGCAGCAAATCTGAGAGAAGCTCAGGATTACTGATGTGGGTACCTGGGACGCAAGCCACCAGAGTTGGGAGGGTATTGGGGATCGCTTTCTGGAAAGAGGAGATGCCTGAGTTTTAATG